ATTCTATCATAACTTATTTCACCATTGTAGTCTTTAATGAAGTCAGCGAGTGCTTTTTTGTTTGTTGCGTAATGTGTTGCTACTTCTATGTTAGCTTCTGTAAGAAGTTGTTTTATTTCCGAGTGTTCTAACTTAGACAACTTCCGATACATCTTTAGTAGGAAATAAAAAAATATTTTTTTGAAAAAATTAGATTAGATTTTTTTAAAGTTATTTTTCAAAATAATTTAATATTTTTATTTTAATGAAACACATGCAAGATTACAAGTTCTTTTCATACAATGCTCTCGCTACTGCCATCAAGAATGAGTTCAATAATGCTTCAAATGTTAATGTTATCTTTAACAAGAAGTTTGTGAAAGAATCTAAGTTTGGTCAGTATGTCAGACCATTAGCTATCGTCATTGACCGCAAACGTTATACTTCACAAGAATTAGCAGTAGTTTTGAAACAAAAGGGTTTCTTCGTGAATGTCAAAGATACACACTATACTATTATAAAGAACTCCAACATTGACTTCTTCAGTATTACTATGAATCTTTCCGAACAGAAAGAATATAAGAAGGGTGAAACGAATGTGAAATATTATCCTTCATCTCTGAAGACAATAACGAACAAAGATGTTATACAAAAATTCTTACCAAAGGTTGAAGAAGCTTCTATTGACATTGACGAAGGAAGTGAAATGGTTGAAGAAATTGACCCTGAAGCTATTTAAGCAAAAATATATTTTTGTTCATTCTTCCTCTTTGAAGTTGTCGAAATATTCTGTTATCTTTTCTTTCAGTAGCGGTAAGTCTTCTTTGAATGTAAGTATTGTACAACCGTTGATGTCATAGTGTGTTTGAGGAAGAGTATTTTTGACAATTTCCTTTATTTGCTCATTCGGTGTCATTGAAATCGGTAAGTTTTCACGATAGAACCAGTTTCTGTCAGATTTATATATTTTAGCGAGGTCATAAAAGCTCTTGTTGTTTCTTCTCACTAAATGCAACATAACCATATCTTTATCTTCTTCTTTCTCCATCTCTTCAGTATATATCATATACTTATAGCTTTTTTCCTTTCCTTTTGGTACTGAACGTGGTATTCTTTTCTGTATGCTTTTGTCTTTGGATTCAATGACTTTATCTTTTGCTTGAAGTTTCTTTTCCATCTCTTCACGTTCTGCTTTATATAGTTCATCTAACATCATGAAAATATAACAAGCATAACGAGGTGAAGCCCACATTGCTACAGCATTTACTAAAAGTCTATGAACATAATAACCTTTCAAACTAGGGACCAAATTCTTGCGATTTTCGAATGGAATCTCTTCCCTCGGTTTTCCGAGGGAAGCAATCATATGAGGAAATTCTTCTAAAAGTTCTTTTGTCTGTTGGTTTTCAAACCAATGATATGCTTGCTTTGTAGACTGAAGAGCATTCATTATACTTTGCATTTGGTACATGTCATCTTTGACCGAACGAATGAGTCTCAATTGTTTGTTATACTGTATGTATTCGTATTCTTCATTAATGGCTTCATGAACGATAGCAGTTGTTGTGTTCTCTAATGTTGTCATTACTGTCTTTATATTCCGGATAAAAAAATAAATAAAAATAAAACTAACGTTATTTTTAAAATTTGTGAAAACTCAACGGTTTGACACATGCCATATGCCATTTTACTCAGAATTTTGTGTTGAATTCGGCAAAAATAAATTTAGGGTAGATGGTTAGATCTAACCTCATTTCTACCCTCATTTCTACCCTCATTATTTATAACCGTTTTACATGGTAAACGTTATGAATTCGCGAAATTTTACTCAGAATTTTGTGTTGAATTCGGCAAAAATAAATTTAGGGTAGATGGTTAGATCTAACCTCATTTCTACCCTCATTTCTACCCTCATTATTTATAACCGTTTTACATGGTAAACGTTATGAATTCGCGAAATTTTAAACAATTTCGTAGCTTCTATTTCTTCACGAAGGATATCAAAAATTTTAACTATGCCGAAGGTTTCTTTATACTTATTCTTGACATCAGATAATAGGAAATCGTCAACTGTTGGATAGTTTTTGTTCAGAAATTCTAACATGTCCATTTTATCTTCTGCTGGTTTCTCTTCTTCTTTCTTTAAGTCAGCATAGTCGTTTCTCATACGTTCTATCTCTTTGACGGAGTAGTTATATTTCCTTATTGCTGCTTTACATTTTGAACATTGTGGGTTCATTTTTGCGTTATACATTGAAATTTGACCTGCTAGAACAACTAAGGCGTCAATGGTTTTCTTTAACTCAAAAGTTGCGGGTCTTATTTGTTCGTTCCATACTTTGCCTCTTCTATCTTTATCTCTTATCTGCCATACACATTCAGCAACTAACGAAACAAAGTTGTCGTAGGTCTTAAACTCCCCAGATTTATATATGTCAGAAACATTCTTATATACCATGTCGCAATCTTTGTCCATAACCTTATGGTTGCAATGAAATCCTAGAAACTCATAATTTACTTTACGTATGAACTTCTTTATTTCTACTGAGTCGGTTGTTTTTACTTCTATTTCATCGAATTCAGGAATAGTGAGCTTTTGTTGTTGGATTTCAGGCAATTTGGGTAAATGGTCAATAATGTCCTGCATTTCATAAAGATATTGTTCATTTTGTTCATCTTTCGCACAACAGTCCAAAGTTCTTGTTAAAAGTTCTTGCTTTGTCTTCTGGATTGTTGTTTCGAAAGTATATGAAGAAGGAATGAAGCTTTTCATCTCAACTAACATAGATGTTGGATTCATAACTAAAGAGTTTGGTGAAGTTGTTGTTTGAAGTGTTGTAGAACCTATTGTTGAAATCATATCTTTACATACAAGATAAAAAAATAAATAAAAATAAAACTAACTTTATTTTTTTTCTTTCATAAGGAAATTCATGAAAATTCAAGAGGGTGAGAAAAGAGGTGAGAAAACGGGTGAGATCTCACCATCTAGCCTAAACATTATTTTTGCCGAATTCAGCAAAAATAAATGGTTCATTTACTCACAATATTTTTGTACAAAACGACCCCAAACTTTTAACTTCTTTTCTGCAGCTTCTAATGCTATCTTAGCGAGTTCATATTCTCTAAATTCTCTCTTTAAATCTTCTTGTTCCCATTGGTCTAGTTCGTATGAAGAATCTCTATAACCATAATATATCTCACGTTCATGTTCTAATTGTTTTTCGCACATTTTTCTAACTTCTTGTTCGAACAAAGGTTTAGCATTCTCTACTGTATCTTCGAGTTCTTCTTCATCTAATTTCTCATGAACTTTCTTGTCTATGGAGTCCATAATATCTTTGACATAAAATGCATACTTTACAGAGCACCATTCAGCAACAAAATGAACGAGGTCAGGATGTATGTAAATACCTTTGAATTCATTCATGACACCCTTTGTAAGCTCATAAAATGCTTGTTTTGAGGTCGAGCCACTTTTGGCTCCACCGTATTCTTTCAACCAAAACTCAAGAATTTCCTGCATTTTAGTACTATTGAGAAATCTGTTTAAATGGTTTAACCTTCCCGCTTCTCTTGCCATCTTTGTTGCATTAATGTAACCATCCTTGTCTCTACGTAAGACTTCAATACCATTATAAGTGCCTTTTGTGAATGTTTCACCATTAGATTTGTTCGTGAATGTTTTTGCTTCGACTGTCATTTCTGTTCTTACATACAAAATAAAAAAATAAATAAAAATAAAACTAACTTTATTTTTTCTATCTTAAGGAAATTCATGAGGGTAGAAATGAGGTTAGATATCGGGTTAGATCTAACCTTCTACCCTAAATTTATTTTTGGTGTAAATAAATGGTACCATTAATAATTTCATGATTGTTCTCATTCATGTCTGATTTACATCTAATGAAAAAGTTTAGATGAATTTTCTTATTCTTTCTGGCATATTTTTGTCTTTCCAATACTCCCGCTCTAATGGTCCCAGATGAGTTGGCTTTGACTCTCTCAAGTTCTTAGATGGTATAACATCTTCAACGCCTCCTTCATATCTTACTTTATAAGTGTCATCGTTTATGTTGTAGTCAAGTATTTCAATAACCACTCCTCGCTTTGCTTCGTCAATGGTTTCAGCAAGTTTGCCATTACTACTTTCAACTAATTTATGACGAGGGTAAAATGCTATGGAGTCGTCAGCAGCTTTTATAAGATATCCATTACCTTGCGTAGAGTCTACGATATAATAATTTCGACTTAACCTTAAACGTTTCTTTGTCAATGGTTTGTCGTCAAGAACTACACGAACTTTTGTACCAGAAATGAGGGTAAATTGTGTTGAATTTCTGATATTTTGTGTTTGGCTTCGTTTCTTTTGTATATACTTTTCTTCTTGTTGTTGTGTCATTGAATTTGGTGTATGTCCTGTTGTAGAATGTGTTGAGGAATTATATACTTCGAGAAAATGTTTCATTGTTTCTTCGGTAAAGTCTCGCTCTTGATTTAAATCTCTGAGAGTCCTTATGAAGCGGTTTATGATGCCGAGTATGTTATGGTTATGGTCTTCAGTAGTGTAGTGAGTTATGTTATGCTTAATGAGAAATTCTGTGATTTCGTTGCTGAGGTATGCACTGTCTTGGTCTGATGTTAAAGTACTTGGGTTATGTTCTGCTACAAACTTTTGTAAAACTCTTAACACTTCACGAGTTCCTTTATTTCTCATTATATACGCAAAAGCTTTGCGAGTGTTAACATTTATGAAGATGAGGAATGGTTTATGTCCTCCTTTTCTGCTTTGAATGAGAGTGTCAAATTGGTATGCGTCGGGAGTGTTGGAGTAAATTGGTAAAAAGTAGTCGTAAGGATTTATTTTTGTTTGATGTACAACATTTTTGTTAAAGAACCTTTTCACTTCAGCTCTGTTAGTAAATCCCGAACTCTTTGCCGCTTCATTGAATTTCTTAAAAGACCTCCATGGATGCTGTTCGAATACTTCTTTCAAGCTCATTTAAGTAAAAATAAAGATTTCATTGAACGCGGCACCATGCGAATACAGTCACAAATGGTGGCATATAATCTTCACCCGGGCCTGTTGGATTTGTTGTGAAAGTGTGTGAATGATTTCCTCCTGGTTCAGTTGGTCGAAAAGTCTTTTTTGCCGCATGATTATAATCTGGAGATAAAACGTCATTGCCAGCTTCATATTCTGAGTTGTATAATGGGTGGTCTCTTAATGAGTGGTTATGGTCGCCAGAAAAGTTTGTAGTTCCTGTATGAGTGTGCGGTGGAAGGTTTGCTTCTTTAATTTTCTTCGAACCACCTGTTTGCTTTGAAGAGTTCGCACAATAGAGGAATTTATCTACAATCTGTTCCCACGTACCAAAACCTAAAACACTTGCTGGATTTGTTGAGTTCATTGACGTATAAATAGAACCTATAGGATATATGGTTTGAAGAATCTGGACCTTCATTGTTAGAAGTTCATGTTTAACGTTTATAGTTTTATTGCCTTCTACAATATTTATATTGTTTGTTATTAAACCATTAGGAAAAGTAGGAGGATAAATTCTTTGTTCTTGTACAGTTGCACCGTCTCTTCCTGTTTTTGTTACTATTTCGGTGCATGCCTTAATTTCTTTAATCTTGATTGTTTGAAATTCTTCATGCACGTGCTCTTTATCGGCTTTTCCATTAAGCGCAGCATTTACTTCCGACTTCTTTGCATAATTTTCATCTACATAAGTTTTGTCGGCTTTCTTATCTAACATTGCTGGTAGTTCATGTGCTTCAAAGTTTCTGGCATGATCTTCGATATTCCTGCAACTGTTATCTAAATTGTTAAGAGTATCTTTTACGCTTGTACTTGGATTTTCTAAAGGTGCACTTGAACCAAGGGTATAGTTCAATATTATGTCGTCTGCTCTAACAGTAGTGAAGGAGTTATGTGTATGGTTCTTGTCAGCCTTCTTCTCTAACTCATCGTTAACATAAGTTTTATCCGCCTTAAGGTCTAAACATCCTGAAACCCATCCTGTATCGGCTTTAGTTTTTAAAATCTTTGATGTCCATTCATGATACCATTCAACCTTTTCTTTAATTTCATTATCTTTTTCATTAACATATTCCTTATCCGCCTTCTTCTCTAACACACTAGCCACATATTCCTTATCTGCTTTGTTGTCTAATGTAGCTTGAAGTTCATTTATATCGGAGATGTTGTGTTTATGAGATTTCAAAACTTTGTTCATTGCTTCAAGTTCAACTTTGTCAGCTTTACTTTTAATAGCATCTTCAAACGTTATTTTTGACTTAACTCTCAAAGTAAATCTTGGTTCAACTAATACACCGTTAACATTGAAAGTAGAGGCATAAATTTCACCGGTATAACCAAATGCTTCTGGTGCTTTAGCTACATCATACTGTACAGTACAGCTTATGTCATAACCTTTAGCACGAATGTATTTATATCTTCTTTCATTAACATTTTTTGTCTTCACTTCATCACTTCGTGTTAAATATCCATGGTAGTCCGTTATAATCTGTTCGTCTGAAGTTATATAATGAACGTGGTTCTTGACTTTATCACTCAGAGCTAAAAGCTCATTTTTGTCTGCTTTTTCGGCTAATTTCTCATTAACATCATTCACCTCTAATTCAACTCTTCCGCCAGAACTCTTATTATCATTTATTTTCTTCATTAATTCGGTAATTACGTCATAAAGACTATATTCTGTTTTCGGTTTTGTAAATAATGAGTCAAAATTTCTTTTCATCATTACATCGCTGACATTAATGATATCACCAATTCCTTTTTCATTTATTCTCTTCATTAATTCTGCAATAATGACGAATATATAATCTGTTAATTTATTCTCTTCATCGAGGGTTATAGAATGTTTTGAAATTGAATCATTAACTCCTCTAAATAAATCAATAACTTCAGGATACACGTTTTTAATGTCTCGAATAACCCGACCAGTATCCTCTGGTTTCTTCTCTTCTTCGTTCCCGTCGTTACGTGGTTTTATATCTCTAACCATCATCAACGCAGCCATAACCGGAGGGTTTGTTGCTACCTGTTCGAAAATCTGACCGTTATGTATGGTATATCTAAATAATTTCTTTGTGTTTGTTAAAACATTTGAAACAAGTCTTTTAAAACCATCTACAAAATTTCCTGTTTCACCTAATGTTCTTGCAGCATTTACAAGCTCACCCATTCCCGCTTTTGACCCCAAAAACGTCCATATTGCATTTATTTCACTCTGTATAGTTGTCCATTCAGCAAAATTAATACCCGCATTCGCTAAGCTGAAAATGAAATTCAGTGGATCGAACTTAATTCCACCTTCTTTTTCAATTTCAACGAACTCACTAACATGAGATTTTAAGTATTCTTTCGTTAAAATTGTTTTCCCCGATGTTATGTCATTAACGAAACTATCACCGTCAAAAGTTAACGAATTCAATTTCGTCGTTGATGCTTTTATTTCATACACCGCTTTATTGATAGTTTTTGGCTCACCTTCTTTAGAAGCATATGAAACATTAATGAATGAATTATATGTATTCATGAATGAGTTAAAATCAATGATTTTCATTAATGAAGCCTTTAATGATTCATTTACTGTCGAATCCCTTAAAGTAATTAATGAACTGTCATTTATGAAAGGTACACTGCAAACCGTCGAGTTTGGATCAAATGCTGTAGTTGGTGCAGGAATATTAATGATATAAGTCATTAAATCATTAAGTGACGTAAATAATGTTGTCGTTTTTGATTTAATTTCTTTAGCATCTGTTATATATGGTAATTTTATTTCTGTAGTTTCTGAATTAAAGATATTCGCTAAAATGTTTTGTAAACTGTTTTGAACAGCAGTATAAACCGTTGAATCCGGAACTCTTACGATTTCACCGTCCTTAATAAAAGGCATTGCACATGGTGTAGTGCTTGGGTCAAATCTTTCGGGATTATAATTCAACATATATTCTAACGCTTCATATACAGACTTATATACTGTTGTGTCGTTCTTCATGACAACTTCACCATTTACAATGAATGGCATAGTACATGGAGTTAAAATAGGGTCAAACTTTTCATAGTCCTTCCATGTTATGTATTTCTCGGTATTTCCATCACTGATAACAATATATTTGTCAGTAAGTGTGAGAGAGTATTGACCAAAATATAAACGTTTAGCTCTGTCAGCTTCATACGCATATGCAGCTATACTCATATTTTAATGAGAATAAAATGTTGTTCTATTTGCAAAGTACAGACCCAAACGAATACGGGACAGTAAAGCTACAAACAAACTTAGGTCTACAGAATGAGGCACTTGCATTCAGAATGGTTGACTTTAATACTATTGCTTCATTCGTTATAACTGACGAAACAGATTTCATGGAGCTTGAAATAGATGGAAAGAAGCACGAAATAAGATTTCACAATAATGTAGAATATAAGATGGAAACATTAGCTGGAGTGTTAAATGCTCTCATAAATACTACAATAAACAAGGATAACGAAGAAAACTTAATGAATGTTAAACTTATTGCAGGAGTTTTGAAGTTCAGTTATGAGAAGGAGTTTAAGATAACACGAATGAGTCATAGAGTACAACTTCTTTTGGGTGCATACCATATGACATTTCCTTTGAAAAGTGTTGACAAAACGATTGAGATGAAATCTGTTCCATACGTATGTTATGGTAATTGTTTGTACATTGAGTCAAAAATAGCTAATGTCACAGGTATTTCAGGAGTTAATAGTAAAGGTTCAGTAGAATATAAATCCTTCTGTTATGCAGTCAATTCAATGTTCATTCCAAACGTTCCTGTCATAGTAACTCATTTAGGTAAATGGGTTCGCATTAGTCCTCATAATTTGAAAGACATGCAATTCAGACTTGTTGACTTTCAAGGCGAGCCTGTAGAACTGAAGGCACCAGTGCGAATGACTGTTGAAGTTGACTTTTTAGAAAATATTAAATGCAACAGCTTACAAGAGAACTCAGAGCTAAAAATATAAAGTATGAATGTTATGTATTAGGTCATGAACTTTGGTTGTTGCTGTTTGATGAAACAAATGAGTTAGTTATGTCAGTCAAGAGAACAGAAAAATATTGTGTTAGTGAAAACTGCACCAAGTCAATAAGATTAGGTTTGCATTATGAAGATGAGTTCGATAGTGTTGAAGAAGTTTTGGATAGATACTATAAGTTGCTTTAATTTACTAAAACATATTTCAAACAAAGCTTATATTCTGTTGAAAGTTTTGTATACTCGTTCGAATATTTATACTTAAACTCAACTCCTGTAGTTCCTGGTGTTTCAATGATGCGGATGTTACCTATTTTCATGAATGGTGGCGTTTGACCACAGCATTCGATTTCAGGGTCGAGATAGTCAATGACACATTGCTTTCCTGTTATTCGTGATATAACATTTTCAAGGTCCTCCTTTGTTAGAATTATTTGGTTCTTACTTATAAGATTTATCAAAAGCTTCTTATCGTCTTTGAGTAAAATTGTTTGGTATAACTGAAGAAGGTAATGGTCTACGTTATCTGAAGGATTTGTTTGAACATTTGTGTAAGGGTTGTCGTTGGCTTCTCTTGAAAGAATTTGGTCCAGTGGTGGATACTCTAACTTAACATCTGATGTAGCGTTAGCGTTTGAAGCTGTGTTTAAATTCACGGCGCCATGCGCCATGATGGGCTCTTTGAGCCCTCCGGATTTCAGCTCTGGTTCTTTTTCTTTCAAACACTCTGAACTATAGTTCTTTATGACAATATTGTTTGTCGTTCGTGAGTCAACATTTGATGTTGGTTCAATTGGAACATTAACGGCACCAGCTAAGATGGATTTGCTTCTCATTTCATATAGAATAAAAACCTTTTATATGTATGAAATGAACAATATACTCGACAAGGGTTTGAATGTAAAGCTAACGAATGAAAATATTGTTGAATTCACTGAGACAGGTGCTGTGTATAAAGATGTAGAACTACTGAACAAAAGAGCTAAGGGAAGAAGCAGGAACATGAACAAAGGGTGGAAGCCTATAAAAATTTATGTCAATGATGGCTCAGGAGGTTCAAACATAAAGTATGCAGAAAGTTATAGAGTTTATGCTCTCAAAGGTGAAAAGCCTTCATTTAAGAACAGCTATTCTAACGCATATCCTCAAAAGCTAACGGATGGGGAAGTGGATGATATGAATGACAGCAAAAATATTAACAGAAATGGCGACAGAGATGCATGGAATTTGTTTACCATCAGTCAATTAAAGCATAAGATTTAAAACAATGTTGGTCGTTCCCATGGAATATTTTTGACTTTAATGGTATTAGTCATGATATGAATCTCAAGGTATGAACGAGGAGAGATGAGAGACTTATATGCTTCCCAAATTTCTTCAAAAGGTAATGTTATACCTGACTGTTTCCAAATGAGTTCAATATCATAACGTGAGAAACCTTGAAAGATAACGAAGTCAGTTATGAGACGTTTTATGTTTAAAGCTAAAAACCTCCATGTTTGCATAAGTATTGCTACAGTTAAGTGGTAATGTCTGACTTTAGTTATGATGTTAGCTAATGGTGAGTCAGGCTTTGACACTAAACCTTTTCCGGCGAAGTCGTCACAAACGAGCAGGGTATTTGAAGGATACTTTTTGAAGGGGTATTTTGAAAGTTTTGACAGAATGTAGTTTGTCAGTCGTTTCATATCGTAAACTTCTGAGTACTGACGTAAGTGGTGTTTGTCAATAATTCTTTCCATCTCTTCTGAAGTCTTTTGCATTCCTGACTGTATAAATTCAACGATGGCATAATATTTTCTCTTACGTCGAATGTAACGTTGAAGAAATTCAATGAGTTCGCTATCTGGAACTTTAACGACGGAGGCTTGAACTTTTGACATGAATGTTTTCGCTGTTGAGTCCATAGAGTCTGAAGTTGCTGATATAATGATTTGGTCATAGTAAGAGTCGTTTCCTAAACGCTCTGTTATGAGTATATGACGAATGAGGTTGAATGTCTTACCTGAACCCATCTTTCCACAATAGAAATACACACCATTTGAACAGAACTCATAATCTTTGCTGAAAGGAAGAATAAGAGAAAGAGTTAAGTTTGTCTGTAGTTTCATTCATGTCTTCATCTACGTCATGTATTAAATGCTTCATTTTATCTCCATTAAAATGCAAGTCAGAAATATTCAGAACATAGCACCGAGTCTAACTGACAAGAGTATAAAGATATACTATGAACATGTTATGATGAAACCAACCAAAATTCAAGAAAGTCAGTATACTTATGAATATCCAAGACACTGGGTAGAGTATGTAGGAGGTGAGAAAGCTATTGAAATAAGACAAGTTAGAAGTATTCCAGCAGGAAGAACAATATTATTGAAGAACTTTAATGTTTTGAGATATAATGATGAAACAAAGAAGCAAGATAGTTTTCCTGTTGCTGTGTATGTGAACTTAGATACAGGAGATGACATGAAAGTTTTTAATACAAAGCTTCAAACGGTATTGAAAGAACAACTGACTGCGGAAGGACATCCATTACCTTCAGAAGTTACCATAGCATATAATTTTGAAACAAATCAATAGATTTTAAAATCGTCTCTGCAAAGAAGTCAGGTTTTACATTTAATGAAGCAGATGTATATTCGAATGAAAACTTCAAAGCTATTGCATGGTTAGATAATGACGATTGCTTTAAGAAAATATTTAAATACAGTGACTCAACGATGTCAATAGATGACCTTCGTGGAATGTTACCATCGACGTTTACAGTAGAAGGTTCAGCAGG